CTTCGCCCGCCCCGCCCCGTCTGTGCGTGCGGCGACCGTCCTGTGACGCACGCGCTCGCTGCTTGTGCCGCCGCCGCCGCCACCGCCCTGCGTGTTTACAAACCCTTCGGAGCCCCCGCCGCCCGCCCGCCCGCCACCCGCGTGGCTTGTGTACGAGGTTGCGGACGTAATTAAACCGCAGTCTAGCGCCGTCTGCCTGAGCCGTTCGCGTTTAGCCTCCGCCGCCGCCCCCACTCCCTCCGCGCACCTGGTCCTATCGCCTGGCATCTCGCCCGCGTGCCGTGGATTGTCTGGCCCTGCCACCTCTTTTTTGCTTCTCCAAAAAAAAAAATTAAACTAGAACTTGGAAACTACACATTTATCACTAGTGTAAAGTAACAAAGTAAAATGAGGGGAGGAGAATTGCGATGATTGACGCGCGTTTAAAGGAAATTATCCTAAGAATCCTCATTCTCTTTTTATTTTTTTACTCTTCCCTGAATCTGTCTTAATCTCTTTCTGCTTTTTGTTTGTTTATTTTCTCGCTACGAAGTAGGGAGAAATTATGTAAAATACGCGGGTGAAAAAATGGTAAATTGTAGGTAGGAAACCCCTTATTATAGACCTAGTAATGAAAAAGTGTGATAAATCCATTGCTACATTTTGAGAAAGCATTCCCCCACCAACTAGGTGTAGCCAGAACCAATGTTTTGTATTCCTTGATACAGAAAAATTGAAGTGACGACAAAATGTCCGTTTGTCTGTCGTGTCCGTGTCTGACGTCTCCGTCCCGTCCGTCCTCCGTCCTCCGTCCGTTCCGTCCGTCGTCCGTCTGAACAAACGCTAGCGGCTAAACTGTTTCGCATTTTCTCCAAAATGATATTCCCCCATAACGATTGGCTGGTGTCGCGCCCCTTGAATATGAAAACCGAATTTTAAATTGTGGGGGATACTTAATAGCCCCTGGAACATTTTCATTAATTTTAAAACAGACTCCATGTTTTTCATTAAATCTTTTGTTGTATAGTATCAAGACGTTTAAGGGAAAACCGGTTCTTATTATCAGGTCTTATTTTTTAAAAAAACTATTTTTCGAAAATTTCAAGATTAGAGCTGATACAAGGATGTGCACAGTTTTTCAACAAAATGTGAGTACCTTTTCGCATACTTTTGCGTCAAATAGACGAGCCAGAAGGTATGCTGTGCAGTTGCGCCACGCTCGCGTTCGCATGCTGTTTCGCAACCACTACTGATAAAAATTTGAAAAATTAACTAGAATTCAACTCGGAATCTACACCTTTATCACTACTCGCCCGTAACAACGTAATTGAGAGGAGTTGAATAGAGGGCCGAGAATATGCGGCGTTAAAGGAAATTGTCCCTAGAGCTCATTCTCTTTTTTTCTTTTTTTTCATTTCCTCTACCACTTGCCTAACCTCATTCTGCTTTTGTTTTTATTTTTCGCCCGGTCGTTTCCGAAATTCCGGCCAAGCAAAAAACTACCCTGGTCGCTCACTCCTCCTACGCAACCTGTATCTCCCCCGTGCCATGTTGCCCTTAGGGCTGCCTCCCCGGGCAGTTGCCTAACTTGCTGGTGGCCCTGGCCCAAATACAGAATATTTGGAAGGAATTCCTCTTCAACGGTAAAGCTTATTAAATAATAATTGAACGAAAAGACGAAAACTAATTATAGTAGTGAAGTTTTTTTTCTCATAACCTATAGACTATTATTGTGTATATTGTTCTAAAATATAGATATTGCTACGGACAATACAAATTTTCATTTTTTTTATTTCTAGGTATGCAAAAGATACTTGCCTGAAAGGTTTTAATAAGAGTAGCATCTTCTCTTCGTGTTTTCAAAATTGAATTAAAATATTTTTCTGTAACGTCTCAGGTTGTGTATCATACATATGAAGTAAAGTACAGGTGCGCCAGAAGAAACTTACTTATTTGAAAAAATCCCGCGCGGTGAGTTAGGGCGGTTAGAGGGGCGAGAGGGGCGTATCCATATCGGGCCGAGCAGAGGGGCAATGGCAGCGATGCGCATGGCTCTCTCCGTGCGTGTGTATGGTCGTGATTGACACGCAAAGCGCTTCAGAGTGAGCCTGCCCCAACGCGATGGCGGTGACCGCAACGCGAATGGAAGAACGAGATGAGAGGTCCTAGTTCGAGGGCCCTGGCCTCTTCCCCAGGAGACATACTTTTCGTGGGGGACGTGATTGCCCGTGTGGTGGGATTGAAAATGTCAAACGAAGACTTCCAAGGTGTCCTGTAGGAGCTAACACGGTACCAATGATTATAACAGGCGGAATACATCAAAAATATATAAAAGAATGATACACATGATGCCTGGCAAAAAAACAGAAGAAGTGAGTGTATTAGTTGTGTGAGCGATTGCTGCGGTATTCGGATATTCGGAGCATTTGTGGTAAATACTTTCCTAAGGGGTGAGAATGGAAAAGCCAACAAATGGGAAGGCGGCTTGCAAGAAACCACTTCGATGCTTCACGCAAGAGTTTTCTACCCTGAGGTCGTAGATAAAAACAATGAGAACAAAAACACGTTGCATAGGACATGTATCATGAATATTCAACTTGACAGAATGGAAGCGAAGGGTGAGGTTGGAATTCAGTTGTCATTCATAACGAAAACTATTACAATCAAAAGACATTTCAAGCAGATATTCCAAGTCTGTGAACAAATACTTTAAAGGTCTTTGAGAGTCACACAGAAATGATTAATGGAAAAGCAGAGCGAGGAGAATGAAAATTGCAATTAGTAAACGGTAACTGGCATTAATTGTGGAATCCCTCGAACGTAACTCCGAACTGCAGGAGCGGGGGGACGGTAAAGGCCCGTGGCTACGACGCTCGTGTGGGTGGCGGCGGTGGGCGTGGCGCGCGAAGCGTGGAGGGGGTGTGGTGAATGGGGGGCGGAAGGTGGTTGTAGAGGGAGGGGAGGGGGCGTGGTGCACGGGCAGGGGAATGGGGTGTGCGGCTGGCGGGGAGAGAAGGGCTGGCATGCTGCACGGGTGAGGAGGGAGCGGAGTGCAGGGGGAGGTGCGTGGTCCACAGAGAGGAGAGGGGAGTGGTGTGGTGCACAGTGAGGAGCCGGGTAGCGGGGTGCACGGGGGGGGCGTGGTGCACAAACAAGGGAAGGGGGCCTGTTGTGCATACCTGGGATGGGGGCGTGGTGCACGGGGAGCGGAGGGCTGGCGCGGTGCGCAGGTGCGGCGAAGGAGGGGGCGTGGCCGAGGCTGCGGCGAGGAGCGCGACGCTCTCCAGCCTGCGCCGGTGCGGCGCGGCGCGTCGTAATAGGACCCAGCGCCAGGTAACCAGCGGCGTTAATTACAGCGCCATTAGAGCCCCTCGCGCTCCGCGTGTTGTCCAGAGATTTCAGGCGCTTCGCACAGCCGTGAATGAAATGCATGAAAGGGGGCACTCGCTCTAATTCGGCGAGGATACGGCGAGTAAACCGAACATAATGCTCAACACCCAGTAGAGCACTTTAAGCGGGGCACCCCTTTATCCCGTCCCTTTAAAATTCGTTTCATGTTTATTAAATTAATGAATATTTAACGAACGTGTTAATTAATTTTATTTTTGCCGGAAGGGAGCTCATCGGCATTTTAATAAATTTCATATAATTTCACAATAAATTGGATGGATGCGCTGTAACATATACACGTCACAAAGACCGAAAAGAGAGATAATTACAATAGAGTACGAGAATAGATAAATGAAAAGGTTTACATAATCGATTATTCCAAGTTTCTAGAATATGAGAGACAATTAGGTAAAAACAAGGTAATCACTGAATATTAAATATTCACTAAAACGGCGTTTCGAAAGCTGCTCTTCGCATCAAGCTTGTGTATAATATTTAATACAAGATATTGAAAATATGAGTTGTCCCATCACACAACAACATCGCTCACATATGAAGGGCAGACAATAAGAATCATCGTTTGAATAAATATATAATATTAGTTGAAATTTTGTTGTTCTTGCCTGCCACAAAGGATAAAATTATAATAATCACAATAATTGCATAATAAGATTATAATATTGAATGTTCAGTAACTATGTATGAGTTAACTGCTAACATCATTCAATTGTTAATCAAACATCTTCATCAATAAAATAAATTTATAATTTTCACGGGTTGAATTAATTAAATGAACTTTAACTAGGAAGAAAGTAAACACAGGAATAAGGATATAGAATCCAATTTGGCAGAAAATTCCCATTACAATCCTGAACAAAGACGTTACACAGAGATTATAGATTGCAGTGTTGTGTAAGAATTTTGATTGTTGCATTTCCCCCTAGATAATATAAACTGAGAGTTCAACAAGTTATTATTCTCCAAAGTTTAATTCGTGTTGGTCGAGCGAAATGCTAATTTACAAGTCATTATTTTTAATGGATATAGACGTAATAAAAGTTGCCTTCATATTGATAGTAATAATATTTTAAACAAATTAAAATAATTATCCGAGTACATGTTTCAAATTATTTTCCGTTTACATTGTAAATGCGAGAGTGTTTCGGTGTAAGTGATTTTGCGGTAATGTATTGCATACATATTCATCTCAAAATCTGGAACGACGTACTAGAAACACAAAAACCAAATTAACGTCTATAATGACGCAAGAATAACAACCCCGCAATTGACCACGCCAACAAAACCGTAAAACAACGCTCTACTTACACACCAGCGACTGTGAACAAGAAAATACACGCTGGTTGAATCGCAAAGAAATAACACTTGGTTATTCGCAAGTGTGTATCAAGGCAATACCATGTCATTGGCGGCAATACACGCGCGCATAAACCTTGTCGGCACCTGCGGGAGGAGGGAGGGGGGCGGAGGGCGCAGCGAGCAGGAAGAGACGGTGCACTCCGCGCCGCGGCGCTGGCGTCGCCACCAGGGGGTACAATAAAGGACGCAGTAAATCCCGGCTCTTAAAGCGCCGAGTTGCCGCCGCAGTATGCTCGCGTCTGCATACGGTGGAGCCCCGCCCGCCTGGCGGCAGTCGCCTCGTAAAGCGAACGTCTTGCTCAACCAGATACGTACGTTGCATCTATTATGGCCTCTCTTGGAACAATGCACATCGTATTTGGAACACGTATGCATACATTCGCGTTCCCATGGTTTGTTGTGTAAACGAGACATAAAATCCTGTCGCATCTGTATGAAAGAATGCCTGAACAAGTTATCTTTACCATTTTGAAATCTTTGTTTGATACGCGCAATGTTCAGCGCCTATCAAACGAGACAGAAACTCTGCAAGAGAAAATTAATTCGCATATTTTGGTGTACACGATAAATTTACAACGATGCAAAAGAAAATCCGTTATGTTATGTGCGTACAGAAATAAAATTCGCAATAACTGGTTAGTACAATATTAATGATTAAATATTGACATTCACATGCATAAAGTCTGTCATTTGAAGATTAAAGTCCCGAAGATAAGGTGACTGAAGATCCTGAAGGTTTGTTCGCAAATGCGTTCCGTTAGTACGCATATCAACCCGTTGAACTTTCGAATGCAAATAAGAGACGCCAGTTCCTGCACCGTTTTGCACCAACATTTCAATTTCGCCTCGAAGCATTCCTAGTGTAAATGATTAGAAACGCAAAGGAGGCGACGAAAGAGAAGCAACCGCTATTTGATACATTAGGTTGACTAATGACATGAATTAAAGTGAACGAAATCTAAGGATATGAAAGGCGTAAATAATAGTTTAAAGAAAGGAATAGAAATGCGACTTAGAATAAACTAATTAAATCCTAGAATGAAACGACAACAAAGACTGTGCTACAGAGAGAAGAGACAAAAACATACAAAACAATATTGATGAGAACTGTAGAGTTATGAAAAAAAAGTAATATTTGAAGAAAGAAATAAAATAGACAAATTCGTTAGGGTTAGGTAGAAGAAATGTGAGAAAGAAGAGTAAAAAATAAATAAACAAAGATACACAAAAAAGGAAAAATAGAACGTAGAGGAATGAAAACAAGGAAGAGGCATCATTGAACAAAAATAAGAAATGAGTAGGACAAGGAGAACGAAAACGAAGAAGAGCGAAAAATAAAATTACTGATGGCATAAAAAGAAATTGCATCAATTGAAAGTGTAAGAAAGAAAACGAAGGAACAGGAAGCAAGAAGCATAAAAAGAGGAGGAATGGAAAAAGAGGAAAGAAATTGAAAGCGAAAGAAAGAAAAAGAAGGAACAGGAATACGCACAAGAAACTTAAAAAGAGGAAGAATGGAACAAGAGGAAATAAAATGAAAGCGCAAGAAAAGAAAGAAGGAACAGGAAGATGCGAAGGAGATGGCCGAGGCGGCTGGTAACGGTGCGCCGAGGGCAGGGCGTCTGCGGTTTGACATGGCGGGCGTGGGGGCGGATCGCGTGACGTTTGACGCGGGGCGTGGGCGGGAGACGAGCGCTTTACGGCCCCGCCTGAGTGCTCGAGGCGCCTTTACGAGCTTCGCGTAATTTATCTATTGAAGGCGACGCGCATAAATTCATTTAGCACGCAAACACGCGGCGCGGGCGAGGCGCCGCCTCGCGCCGACCCGACGACGAGAAGGGGCGGGCGAGACGGCGGCGGCGCAGGCCTCGCAGCACGTGCACACACGCACGCACGCACGCACGCACGCGAGGCGACGCCGGGCCCGTGGGTCAGTGACGGCTCTATCACGATGTCGTTCGATGGAACGATGGAGATGTGCGTCGCTTTATGCAAGTTTTGGCTCTCCCCAAACTGAGTACAGTTCGGTTAGGAAATGGTTCAAACAACTTTGAATGACGAAACTTTGTCTTTGAAGTCATACTCTAGTGAAGAATACGCACTTCTTAAGTGTGTTGAATAAGCATAAAAAATTCAATTTATTACAACCTCTTATCATAAACTATGCTTTTGTCCTTTGTATGTTATTCGATGGGTAAGTATAAAGTCTCTCTGGTGATGTGAGATTGAAGAAACTTGACTTCTTATTCAATCAGAATCCCTCTTAAACGACCGAATTGAATGCACTTTATGAATTATAAAATAGAATAGGGCTCTCATATTTAAAAAAAAACTTCCATATTCGATGTAAATAGTTTGAACTGGAATAAATTTAAATTTACAACATAAAATACCTAAAATTATGATCAATTTACATTGCTTATGATCTTTTGTCC